ATTGATCCTGCTTCTGCCCTTTGGACCGTTACCAATCCCACCTGCCGATCACGTGGCTTCCCCCATCCTCTTAACCAACTACAATTTATCTTTTAATATACACTATGTACAAAATATTTTCTACCTATTTTCTACCTTTCGAAAAATTTGATTTTTGAACGGAAGATTTTTGCCACGCATTTTCTACGAAAAAGAGCAGTATAATTACGTTGACTATGCGAAAGATAGAAACTGATCATGACCGAACGATCCATAGACGTTTCGTCGCAATTTGTAATCCGATATTATCAACCGAGCAAATGTATTGAAGCCGCACAAGTACGCGCCCATGTTTTTTGCAAGGTGCCCGATTGAAGACCACCTGTCGGTGCTCTGCGTTATCCGATGACAATTTGCTGCGCACTGGAGAAAGTAACACGCGTGTGCACATTATCCACGAGAGACCATTGTACCCTGTGTCTTGATGAAATGTGAAAAATGCATGCATATATTTATGTTTGAAAAAGCGAGAACAGGAACGCCCTTGAAATGAGAAATTGTCACCTCTTTGCCGTTTATTGCTCTTGATCACGACACTCTAACGATTGCACATAATTTTCTCTTAATGGATGAAATGAATTGTACGATATAAACGTTATGTATTCATTATAAATATTATATACATTCATTATACACAAACATATATTAGCATATAAATATTTATATAAAAATATCGATGGACGTTTATTTATCAAATTATTAAGCAATTTAAACAAAAGACAAGCAAGAGATAAAGTGAAAAAATAATATGATGGAGAATAGAATAATTTCATTCTATCTTTGTCTCATTTTATATAACGCGGATTTAAACTAAATATATAAATAATAAATAATCTCAACCAACATATCAAATCAATTCACGCTTTTTATTTCTAAAACCGATTATCTTTATATATTATCTTTATATGTTAAATCGTTTCATCAATTTATTAAACTATTATTATTACTAACTACTACTAACTATTATAGAATTTCCATCTGAATCGTTTAAGGGCAAGCAAGTTATTTAATGAAAAACAGCAAACTAACAAATAAGCACATAATCTGACCAAGCTTTAGAGAAGAAATAACAACATAATTGTTACATACGATATGTGGATATCAATTAGATTAAAATGACAAAAAACTGAAAGTAAAGAAAAAAAAACAAATTATCCATTGCTTATTTTTAAATTTTTAGGATATTAATTGTTTTGTTGCTTGTAAACCAATGCTAGAAGAAAAAAATAAAGAACAATTAAATTACTGATATATATTTCTTATTCATTTTAAAAATGTTCTTATTTTCTTTTATTTATAATTATTATATATTTATTTTTTTAAATAAATAATTTTTTTTAATGAAATAAAATTAATCAGAACATATTATGTTGTTTTTTATGTTTTTTTGTATATTTATTCTTTTTTTTTTATTTTCTTTTCTTTATAAATATATCTCAAGAAATATAAAGTCATATTTCCGAATGTAATTAGAACAAATATGAGAGTATATGATGCAATTGCAATAGGTTGGACAATTGCAGTCACGCGAATCAGATAAGAATACAATCACGAAGGGCTGTAACAAATTGCAAGAAATCATGGCATGAATTCTTAATGACCGAATCCTGCACATTTCGCGTTCTATTTAGTTGTTAAAATTAATTATCCAGTTCGATAAATTGATTCAAAGATAATATATGTAAATATATACAAAATAATACGATACAATCGTATTTATCAACATTGAAATCAACAAGTTTATTTGAAAATCACACAATAAATAATGAAAAAAGTACTTACAGTTAAGTAAAAAAGTAGTTACATATTAAAAAGTAGTTACAAATTACAATATTTTAGAGTAAAATTCGAAATGCAAAATACAATTCCTTTTTATATTCACTTGGAACAATTTTGAATAAATATCGTGCAAAATTGCATGGAAGTTCGTATTTATATACATATGTATGTTCATTAATTTGCACTGAATTGATCTTTTAATAAAACTAATGATTCTTATATACATTTATCACAAATAATCCTCATCATCCGTATATTCACACTCTTCTATTATTCTTGTAATCTCGATATCGTGTTCCCGCGACTCATCGTCGGACAAATGTGAATCGCCTTCCATAAACTTGGCAAACCTAAAAGCACGCGTATTAAATTACGCTACATTTACAAGCGTAATACAAGTGTATCACGCTTACTCTTCCAATATATATAATAGATTCAATAGACTTTTGTATGAAAATATCTTATTATATATAATAACCTTATCGGATCTTTCAACCTTAAAACTGTTTTCCATGGATTACAGTTAGGACTAGAACAATATTCTCTTAACTCGTGTAACGCTTTATTAGTTTCTCTTATTCCTTCTTTACGATATTCGTCTTCCGTTAATAACTTCCTTTTTATGGGAAACATGTTTTTCCTGATTTCAGATAGGTATATATATATATGTAATATATGTTCTTGTTCATCTAAACGATAATGCTAATATTGTGATTACTATCTACTGTCTACTATTATATTATGTATTATAACTGCTATTGTCACCATCTTATTTTCACTTATTGCAGTTACTGTTTTTGATATGCTCTTGATATATATTCAAGATATAAATTGTATAAACGCATTAAAATAAAATATATAGAAATTATAAAAAATAAAATAATTTATAAAATAGTTATAATATTTTATAATTTGTATATTTTATAAATTATTTTAATTTATAAAATATTTAATATATAATTTATAAATTATAAATATTAAAAATAATTTATATTTTATTTTTTAAATTATAAAAATAAAATAAAATAGTTAATATTAATTAATAAAATTAATATAAAATTTAATTACTTTCACTTTGATATTTTTTTTCGAAATAAAAACATAAACGAATATGAAATAACAATTTATTAACGTAGTAAACTTAACAAATAAAGCAGTGTTTGATTATTATGAATAAATAGTTTTAATTATAACATTGAAAATATATGCAGAAACAAATTAAATTAAAAAATAACATTTAATATTGAAGCAAATGTTTACAACATTTTTGCAACAAATTGAAGAAAGCTTGACAACGCTGATATCGAACAATTTAACTTACCAATAATTTTGTCCTTTTCGAATTATTGCAATGGGAAAATTATAAAGTAGAGTAATTATAAGACAACAAAAAAATGATGCTTCGCGAAAATAACTGCTATAAAATATGGTTAACAGTCCTCCTATCTAAATAAACGAAAGAAAGAATATTAAATGGGAACAGTAGAATAATTTCTGACAAAAGTTTTTCAACAGTTCATTTCGTTAAACGTATTATTTTACAAACCTGTAAAAACCATTGAATAAGTTTTTTCGTTCTAGTATTTGTAACTGGACCAAATCGATAACTAATGACGAAACTGATTAAAGACGTTAATAAAATATACCATGCCACCCATTCCCTGTATTGAACTACGATTTGTTGGATATTTTCCCATAACATTTGAATTAAATAAAAACTCATTGTCCAACCAGTTGCGATCATCAAGTACATAAGTTTACCCTTGAATTATGTATGCATATTAATTTTCGAAAAATGATATATTCTTATAAAATATATGTAAATGAAATGAATTCACAAATATCACATTTACCCTTAGTAAGAACTTGCTAAAAAAGTATACTAGAATTATAATTGAAGTGGAGACACCAAGAGTTATACAGGTAAAATAATAAAATAAAGGATTTCCACTGAGTTTATGAGCACTCCAAAATATTAGAATGCCTAATAGCATTAATAATAATTCTGAGATGTCAATACCTATTTGTAGAAGAATATATGTATTATACTGCCTATTATTTCTAATATAAAACATTTTTTTTTTTTTTACTTTGTTACACTCACGTGTTTGAATTATACTCATTGTATATTTATATAAATTAGATATATTATTATATACATATACACCAATACATATATCTTCAAATGGATTAATTTTCAATTTGTTACTCTTTTTTGTGCTAAATAAACTAAGGCTCCAAGATCGCTGATTATCATCATGCTTTTGTATTACTTCTTGAGGAGTCTTTCCAATATAAAAATCATAATTATCTATATTTGTATTTAAGTGCATCTATAATGTAATAATATAAATGTAACATTAGAGATGCAAAATTTGTATATTATGATACATATATTATAATACATGAATCTCAAACTATTGTTTCTTACTGTTAAACTTCTCCACATATGTATCAAATATTTTGAATTGGCATTATGACAAAAGATTTGTAATCCAGGTTTGTCATTTGAATAGACATCTCCTGGTTTTAAAAAATGTACTAGAAAAAATTCAGGTAATGAAAATCAAACAAACATGATAAATAGATATTTCTATTTATTTTCATGAACGCGAAGTATGAAATACAGTATTTTCAAAATAAAATATTTGTCAATATTAAAAATGGAATGTTAACAAATACACAATATCTATATGTAATTTGTATTGTGAATAAAATAAGAATTTTTGAATTTTTTTATAAAAGAATGATGATTATATAAATAAATGTATGAACATAAAATAAATAATTAAAATAAATATTAAAAAATAAATTTTGAATTATATTTTCTTTATTTTTTATTTATATTTTTTAATAATACGAACGATAACAATAAAACCGGCAAATTTACAAAAAATTATAGGTTAGTATGACTTACTTGAATCCGTAGACAATGCAGATTCTGTATAATAATAATTACAAATAAATAAAAAAATAATTACACTGAACGATCGTATTATTCTATTATCCATTTTATTAAAGTTAATTGCACGTTTTACCTTAACCTATAAATTTTTGAAATAGAAACAAGAGCACAATGAATTTATCAACAGGTAATCGTTTAAAATTTAAAAATCGAGATAAACAAGTTTCGATAATAAATCGATAAAGTTTAAATATCGAGATATCGTTATTCTCAACTTCAGAGAATAAAATTGAAAAAGCGTAATTTTATTATATGGTTTTAAAATATATTTTTATAGTTAAAAATATCAAAATATATTAAATACTTCAAGTTTCAAGTTTTTTTCTATAGATTCTTTAATGAGTCAATTTATCTCGATACAAGGTATATTATATAATATTACGTTCGTAATTATTTCATTATATATTTTTTCTACAATGAATTACATATATTAAAAATAAATAGAAATTATATTAATAATGATTTTAGTTGGACAATGTGGAAACCAAATCGGTTCAGTATTTTGGCCTTTGGCACTACACGAGTATGGTATACAAACAATGAATACTGGAATAAATTTACTTAAAACACAACGAAATCATATTAAAAATATAAATGATTTATCTAATGCATTTGATAGTTTTTTTGTTATACCTGACAATTCACCCAAAGATTTATGTTTTAAAAGTATGTCTGATTTAAGAAAAGCTAAGGTTAAAGCCAGGGTATAATATTTATTTGTAATTTTATACTTTTGTTCAAAATTACAGAAAAATGAAATAATATAAATATATTTACAAAATTAATTTTTTTATGTATAGGCAATATTGATAGATATGGAGGATAGTGTTATAGGAGAAATGAGAAGAGGTCCTGTACGTGATTTATTTGATCAGACTTGTATTGTAACAAATTATCCAGGATCTGCAAATAATTGGTATTGATTTTTTGATAATTCAGATAATAGATTATTTTTGGATTATATATAAATATTATAAGTGTATTTTATAAGTAATTTATAGGGCTGTAGGTTATTATACTCATGGTACAGAATATTATGATAAATTGGAAGATAATATCAGACGTATGGCAGAGAAATGTCCTAGATTACATGGTTTTTTAACAATGCATTCCCTTGGCGGTGGTACTGGATCTGGATTAGGAACAGCTGTTTTAAAGTTACTAGCTGATAATTATCCTACAATAGATAGGTACAATCTATATAATAAAAACACATTCATTTCACATTTATTTAATATCTTTACACATTCTTCTTAAGATTACACTTTTAATTTTTATTAATTTTATAGTATTATTGTTATTGTTACAGATTAGTATCATGCATATATCCAATTGTTATGCAAGATGTTGTTACAGCCCCATATAATGTGTTATTGGCAACACGAGAACTTATAGATTATGCAACTTGTGTTTTTCCTATTGAAAATGAAGCACTTGTAGACATATGTAATGCACAATTAAGGAATATAGATCAAATAAATTATAATATTTCATGTAAACCATTTCAGGATATGAATAGTATTATTGCAAATATACTTCTTCATTTAACTAGGTAATATATAATAGATTAATAAATATTAGATTAATAAGATTAACAATAATTTTTAACAATTATTTATAAATTAAGAATATCTTTTTCCTAGCGGATCTAGATTTCCTGGTAATTTGAATATGGATATGAACGAAATAGCAACGAATCTTGTACCATATCCGAAATTACATTATATATTTAGTAGCGTTAGTCCAATAACGTTATCTGCGCCTACAATATGCAATATACAAGGAAGAAAGTATGTACTAGTTTTTAAGATTATTAAATGAAATTACAAAAAGTAATTGTACATTACTTCTAGACTTATAGATGAAATATTTATCAATGCATGGTCACGAAACAATCAATCGATCAAACTAGATCCACTACAAACAGGTTCTATGGTTTTAAGTGCTGCGCATATTGCTAGAGGAGATTGTTCTGTAAATGATTTAAAACGAAATATTGAAAAGTATATTGTTTGCGATTTTTTATAAATAATACATTCATTTATATATATTTGTAATCATTGTTGTATAAAATTTAATTTTGATTTTCAGATTTCGGAAAAAAGTTACATTCGCAAAATGGGGTACCGAAGCTATGAAAGTGGGTTTATGTTCTGTACCTCCAGCTGCACATTCTACCTCATTATTATGTCTTTTAAATTCTTCCTCAATGATATCATTATTTGAAAATATAATAAAACAATTTACTAGATTATATAAACGAAAGGTAAAGATGTGGTCTTTATATATATGTATAGCATGGACTTTGAAAAGCAGAGAAAAATTTATATTTCTTAATGAATTCCTTCGTTTCTATAAAAATTTTTATTTATCTATGTTATACTAAGAATAAAAGTTGAAATTTTTCAACTAAGAAAAAAAATATTATTGTCCATCCTGTACATAACAATATAAAATTCTAAATAAGATATTAAATACGATTTCAAAGCACGATTAAATTGTTGTTGCAGGCACATGTACATCATTATACGAAAGTACGTGGTTTCGAAGAAATGCATTTTATCGATTGCAAAGAAATAATTTTAAATTTAATCACACAATATACAAAACTACAAAATCAAAATGAAATAAATGTTTCTCGATTACAAATCCTTTAATTTTTACATTACATAATTTTATTAATTTTCTTTTTTTTTTTATTTATTAACTTGACCTATACATTATATAACACAAAGAGAATGCAACAAAAATAGATTAACATAATATATTGGTAACAACATTTCATTCATCGAAGATTTATTATTTGCGCGAATTTGTATCAAGATGTTTGAAAATTCAAAATAGTTAATATATACATTGTCTGTACATAATGGCATATACAAAAAAAATTCAAAAATCTCAATTGTTTTTGAATATATCGATATAACATTAATTTGCAAAGATATGATTTGTATAAAATAGCGTTTTAACTAGCTGGTATTTGTGGCAAACCAAATTCATCGACTAAAACTCCATCCTAAAAAGAAAAAAATTTTTTTTAATAAATCAAATCATTGAAATTTTATACTTTTAAACAATTTGTACAGTATTTATAAAAGATATAATAATTACTATAAATTTTTATTTTTATTTTTTAAATATTTCATAAAATACAAACCTTATTTCTAACAGAGCTTGTACCAGGTTCTTTGTCAGGAGCACTAGGTGCTTTGATAGCATCATCCAAGTAACTGGTATCTTCGTCGATAGCTAAATCATCTCCAAGAGCTTCTAATTCAGCAGCTAATTCATCCTCGTCTATATCTGGCATACCATAACTGCGACCCATTGCTTCTTGTACTTCGTCAGCTTGTTCTAACATGTCTGCTAAATCATCTTGAAGATCCTTTATAACGTGTATATATATATACATATACATATATATCATTTAAACAACATTAAGACAAAGAAAAACAAGATATTGTATCGAAAATACCTCGATTTGATCTATATTAATGTGTTTAAATTCTTTCTGCATTTGTTTAACTCCTTCTTTCATGGCAATTACGGTTGTTTGAGTATCTTTTAATGTTTGGGTAGCATAATTTGCTTGTTCCATGTTAAAAGCTTGTTGACGCAAATTATCTACTTGTGCTTCGTACATTTTACGTTGTTTCAAAATGCGCAATGCTTTAGCTTTTACAGAATTTTTTGCAGGACCTTCTCTCATTTTGGCCATTTGATCTTTGTACTTTTTTAATTCCGCATCCAATTTCGCTATTTTTTTCTCTGCAGAATCCGCTCTGCTGTCGACCTGTTACAAATATTAATAAAAAATAAAAATGAATAACACAAGAACATAAATGAAAAAATAACGTAACCTCTATGGTGTTGGAATGATGTGAATATTTACCCCAGCAATACAATCAGTAATACTTGGTGATGGTTCTTTAGGCTTAGGTCGACCAAATAGTCTATTCATTTTAAAAAAAAATTTAATAATGCAAAATACAATCCTTTTTTTCCTTTCTCTTCTTCTGTTTTACGATCGTTACTTGCGTTCGCTCGAAACGTCAAGCTGAGTGACTCATGCAATCAGTTACTCCATCTATTGCCACATACGACATTCATCAATTACTTATAATTAATTTTAAGCGGGATTTTAAGTCTTATTCTTTCAAATGTAAGAAAATATGATCAGTTAACAGATACTAATAATTTTTATCTATCATATATCGATATTTCAAAAATTATTAAATATATGACACTTAATAAAGATATTCACAATTATTGCTATTTTATTTCGATTGATCGAATAATAATCGACGATTAAAATTGTTATTAATCGATACAGAATAACGAATTTTATTTTAACAAATAAAACATAGATTCTTTCCGTTCGGAAGGAAACGGAAGAAAAAAAATTTCTAGTCGTACATCGCGAAGAAATTAGTGCAGGTAATTATTGTCGAACGTGTTTACGATAGCTTTACGATAATACTGTAAATGTATAGCGATATGCTATGCAACTCTGTTATTTATCTCCGTCGGTAGATAACCGAAGGCACAGGTACGTTCGAGCGAAAGGTGGCAGAGTAAGGGAAGAAGGCGCCAGTATCGAATGATGGATTTGAAAATTCAGATGGAACCGCAAAGAAATTTGAGAAGTCTCGCGAGGGGGAGGAATAGGAAGGAAAGGAGAAGAAGTCGAGGGAACACGACGATGGTTTTCGTTGGTTGCGATCCCGGTAACGGCCAACTTATGTTTACGTGGACGACGAGGAGGACGAGACAGGATGGTGGCGAAGGCGGCGGCGGCGACGGCGGCTCGAAGGCGAGAGGCGGTAACGCGCGTGCGTGGCCGACGTCGTCGTGCGACGCAGCAGCGACGTAGCGACGTCGACGTCGACGAGGACGA